CTACGGCACCTGCTTCACTCTACCTAATGTCAGGGATGTCCCTCTCGAGGACTACCATTAAACTCCATTTCCCACGAACCTGGACTTCCCAGATGTGCCATGCTTTCAAGGAGATATAAAATGAAATTAACACAGAAGCATTCTCTGTTAAGTGATGTCCGCTGACATGCTACCTTCGTGTTTACAAGCAAGATCATGGAATACCACTAGCTGAGGAGCAAAAACAGATGGTTACTGCCTTCATGCCCTGTTTCCTTGAGGCATCTGGCTGACTGCTATGTATAATGGAACACTGGACCTGATAGACTCAGAGCTGACGTTTTTACTTTTTAAGGTGACAACTGGACAATTTTACAGCTGGCTGGAAAATTCTTCCAGTTTCCATAAAACTCCCCTAACTTTTCCAGGTTTTCTTGGATAGATCTTTAGTTAAGGCAAGAGGCTCTTCTTTACAATCTTATGCTTGCAATGACTCACTTTTCCCCAGCAGTGTTTACTACCAAAATGTATGTGCCACGAAATAACTGCCAGTGTGTCATGCAGTGCAAATAATCCTAGGCTCCTGCGAGTCCATAATAACCATACAGAGGGGAGCCAGCCGAGCTGCCAGGGGACAGATAACTCCACCATACCTCTGCATCAGGAGTGACTGGAACATCCCAATCACTCCCCAAGCAGAAACACAATAGAATTAATCAAGCCATCTAACAAGGCTATGCAATCGGTCTCTGTGGGTGTCCGCTCTTCCAATCAGTCTTTCTCATCCTTATGGTGGCCAAAATAAAGCCCCAGTCTGGTGCAGAAGGTATATCTCCCATTTTAATTAAAAACAGTATATGTTATTTACCAGATGTTTGCTACATCTTTGCTATCTGGCATCTTGGTATGAAGGGCTGGATATTAAATCTGGAGTTCTTAGTCTGCAAAGTGAGCACTCTGTGATCAGAGCATAGAAACATAACTGCATGGGTCTACAGGTCCCAGAAGTTCCCAGCTAGGGGGCATATTTATTTTTATTTTGTTTTATTTATTTTTTTATTTGATTTATACCCCATCCATCTAGACCAAAGTCTACTCCGGGCAGCTAACTCTGGGCATATTGCCTGGGGAAGTCTCAGATTTGTAATCCAGCACAGTAAGTTTTCCAGGTACGACCTCTGGCATCTAAGTTATAATGCCCTCTATCCAAGATTGATTGACGACATCATGTGGTGTACAAGCTACAAATAGTTGTAAAATTAATGTGTGTTTCTACTTACTAAAACCTAGACTCAGGCACTGTATTAGAACTACCTAGTGTGCCACAGAAGTCCTATGCAGGTTTTTGAGTTCTTCAGCACTCTTTACCAGGGTAGTGTTACCGGCCAAATCTGAATTCAGGTTAGACCAGTGCTGGGTTCAAGTTCTCCGGCAAGGACCACTGGCTAATCTCGCCCTATCAGTAGGAGATACAGAAAAAGGAGGGGGCAGGGTGGGAACAGAAAAATACCCACATAAGACCAGCTGTGGGGCCCAGAGGCCCACAGAAAGATTAAGTCCCAAATCCCATGATTACTAATCCCATGTTCTCCATTCTAGGAGTCCTACCTGACAGACCCATGCCTGCAGATGCCTAAATGTGGCTCACCTGGAGAAGAGGCCTCGCTGGGAAGGTTCTGTGGTTTAGCATAGGCTGTTCAGAAAGGAAGCTCCAAGCTAGGCCTCTGCTAAGACACAAAGCCTTCCCTGCTAGGCCTTTTCTTCCTGTGAGCCACATTTAGGTATCTGTATGTATAGATTGTGGTGGTGCTGTGGGTTAAACCCCAGAAGCCTCTGTGCTGCAAGGTCGGAAGACTAGCAGTCGTAAGATCGAATCCATGCAACAGAGTGAGCTCCCGTCACTTGTCCCAAGCTCCAGCCAAACTAGCACTTCGAAAGTATGTAAAAATGCATAAGTAGGTATCACCACGGTGGGGAAGTAACAGTGTTCTGTATCTAGTCATGGTGGCCACGTGACCACAGAAACTGTCTACGGACAAACTACGGACAAGCTCTATGGCTTGCAGACACGGATGAGCACCACCCCCTAGAGTTGGACACAACTGGACTAAATGTCAAGTGGAACCTTTACCTTTATGTTTACCTTTACCTATGTATGGGTCAGGTGGAATGCTCAGAATGGAGAATCATGGGATCTGTAGTCTAAGAACTCTGAAAACGCCATGCCTAGTACCAATTCCATAACCTCATACCTACTTGGACAACCTACCAGTGTTTGAGCCATTTAGCAATCCTCATCTTGTGACTGCAGCCCTATTCCTTGGTTGTCTTTTGCAGAATTATCAATGTGGTTGGAGAAGATATGCTAGCTCCGATCACTCCACTCACAAAAAAGGGGGCCAGTCTGAAAGAGAGAGGTTCCTGTTCCTATGTAGGGTCTACATACAAGCAAGAATCCCGGAAAATCTGGATTCTTGATCCCTTGTACAGCCTACACTCAAGCAGAACCTTCTCCCCTTCAGGCTCATCACTGAGACTAAGTAGAATGTAATGGGGGGGGGGGGAGGCAGCTCTAAGTGCTCCGCTATAAGCACATCTGTAGAATTAGGACTAGCACAACTATAACATCTGGAAGATGCTTCTGTTTCTTTCCGCATCCTGCAAATTACTTTATTGGAATCCCTTACTGGAATTATTTTATTGGAATTGAAGTTACTTAGCCCACAGAAGAGACTCTGGGAAGCTGACAAGGGGAACAGAATAATGATAGCTTTTCCATCAACAGACATTTAGTGTCCAAATGCCTCTCAACATTGAGGTCCCATGTTAAATATTTTAATAAAATGAATAAACATTGTGAGTTGTAAACATTAATAAATTTATCTCTAGGATACAAAGGAATAAAATAATCTCAATCCAGCACTTGGATTTTTTTTTTAGCAGCATACCTTCTGCTACATTTAAGAATATTTCTATTTAGATGGTTTGCTTTTGGTAAGGCTTTGACTCTTAAGGAAGAATGGGCAACATTTACCACCTGTGTGGAACATGACACTTTCCACCCTGCCCTGCTGCCCTTACGGTGAAACGTTCTCAGCTGTCTTGTTCTCCTGTTCAGTCAAGTGGTTCCGGACAAGGGTTGAACTGTGTAACCATTTTGATTTGTTCATGGAAGTTTACTAGATATCCTGAATTTGGAAAAGTGGTATTGCTGGGCTGGGGAAATTTGGAAGTTACAGTCCAACAAAGTAACTTCTTCTCCAAGCCGTGGTCCAGACGACATCACATTCCATTTGCTGCCCTTTCATGTGGCCCAGTTGCTTGGAAACTGCCCCGGTGTGATCCTTCCTGCACCATTCCGTTTCTTCCTTGTGGTTTCTACACTGTTAGAACTACCAAGGTGGTCTAGGTAGGATATGAATTAAGCATTAGCCTCGGTTATGAAGATAAGGTAACGCATGGCATAGTGATACATTTGGAAGTTCAGATGCTTGTTGTAATAATCTGCATAGCCACTAGTCCCAGGAATTTCACAAATGCACACAATGTGGAATTAGTCCATATCAACATAAGATCTGTGGTTTTTTGTTTTTTGTTTTTATAAGGCCAATGGCTATCATTTTCCCATTTAAGACCAAACCACCCACAAATAATTTGTATTATAAAAGAAATAATTCCTGGGGGTTGCGGAATTCCAGTTATCTCCCAGCTACTATAAAATCTGCAGCTAAAATTAGAGGAAACAGGGAAACTGGAGGAGAATAGCAGATGATGCCATAGTCCCTACTATGCAGAAAATCTCAGGGCTTGAACCCGGCAGGCTCTGGCTCCACTACACCACTGTATGGCAAGAGAGAGGCCAGCCTGTAGTGCAGTCTAAATACAAAAGCAAAGTGTGCTGCTTATATTATGTCCCACAGTGCTTAAAGCACCCTCTGGGCAGTTTTCACTTTTATTACGCACGTTACGCATTGCCCCTACCCCCACCCACCCCCTGTGAGCTGTGTACTCAATTTACTGACCTGAGAAGTATGGACAGTCGAGTCAACTTTGAGACAGCTTGCTGAGCCTGTCTGGATCGAACTCAGGTCATGGGCAGAGTCTTGGCCATGTCCCACAGTGCTTAAAGCACCCTCTGGGCAGTTTTCACTTTTATTACGCACGTTACGCATTGCCCCTACCCCCACCCACCCCCTGTGAGCTGTGTACTCAATTTACTGACCTGAGAAGTATGGACAGTCGAGTCAACTTTGAGACAGCTTGCTGAGCCTGTCTGGATCAAACTCAGGTCATGGGCAGAGTCTTGGCCGCAGTATTGCAGTTTAACCACCAAGCCATAGGGCTCCAAACAACATATGAGGTGTAATTATCCGGTCCCCCATTTTGCAGAGAAGGAAATGTAACACAAAGAGAAAGGAGGCATCTGCCCAAGACTGCCCCCCCCCCGTGTTGACTGTCGCAAGTCCTCTGGCTGCTTTCTAGCTGCGACTCGACTGCAGTCCCTGGCCTGTCAGCTCCCTCCGCCCTCTTGTTCTCTTCTTGACTGCTCAGCCTTTTTGTGACCTGGCTGCCCTCCTGAGCAGGGAGGCTGGTGGCTTTTTTTTTTTAAACAGTGGCAGTGTTGAAAAAGGAAAGCCCTCCAAAGGAAACCCCACGTCCTCTGCCGTTCTTCAAAAATGTCCATGGTCAGGACATATTCCAGGAATGATCTGTCCCTGGGGCTCAGCCATTGTACAAACCACCGTGTCTTGTTTACTCCAGCCAGATCTTGGTGGCCTGGGATGGGACCATGNACAAGGCTGTGCTTCCAGGGTAACCGGGTGTGATGCTCATTTCCTGTGTAGAAGGTGATAGGAGGGAGGAAAAGCGCCCTCCAGCCCACCGGCCAGTGCAGTCAGCAGCAAACACACATTTCTGGAAAAGCTGCCCCCACAGTCCAGCAAAGCTGCCAAGGAGACCTCTGGGGCAACACATCTCGGATCTTCCTTTGTTCCCAAGGCTGTGCTTCCAGGGTAACCGGGTGTGATGCTCATTTCCTGTGTAGAAGGTGATAGGAGGGAGGAAAAGCGCCCTCCAGCCCACCGGCCAGTGCAGTCAGCAGCAAACACACATTTCTGGAAAAGCTGCCCCCACAGTCCAGCAAAGCTGCCAAGGAGACCTCTGGGGCAACACATCTCGGATCTTCCTTTGTTCCCAGTAAGGTAAGCTCATCCAGCTGATGCATTCCAGCCTCCTCTTCAGAAGAAGGGGGAAGGGAATCCACTCTACCTGGTAAATGTTTATTCCAGAGAGAGAGAGAGAGAGACTTTCAGAGCTGCCCTCTTTTACAGATGCCAGATTTCCTTCTGCTTAAGATGGAGCACTTTCTCTTCCTTCCTCCAAAGGGTCTAGAGAAAGTGTGAGAATTCTTCTCAGCTCAGTGACTGATGCTCTGGAGTTCAACAGGCTGTCAAGTCACTGATCCTGACCTTCACAGCTACATGGGGGTCTTCTCTGTGGTTGGACTCAGACAGACAATCAATCCGTATTCTTCTGGTAGTTTTAGAGAGTTAGGGGTGGCTCAAGAGAGGAGCTGCTGTACACTCATTGCACTTCTGTCTGTTCAATAGGTCTGGCAGGATTTTGTACTGCTTTTGAAAAACCAGCAGACCCTGTTTCTGGAAGTGACAATAAGCCAAAATAAATACAGGTATCGAGCAGGAAGCAATTTTTTAAAACACCAACCTGTTTCTTAGAAACAATTGTCTCTTTGCAGCCTGTGTTTTAATTTAACTCATGGTGTAGGCAGGATAAAAAAAGCTTTTTTTGTGTGATTTCTCAGATTCTTTCTTTATCAAACTAGATCCTACTCCCAATTTCTTATTCTTATTTGAAGAAAGAGTTTTCTGCAAAATGCAGGAACTCTGCTACCCACCAGTTTAATGAAAAGCTGTCATCTGGATCATTTTAGAATATGATTTGTCTGTGGCTGGGACAAGTGTAATCACTGTTCTTTTGTCAGCTCCTTAAGAACAAGCTCCGCGTGGGAAAGTTTCAGGAGGACCAGAGTTCAGGGGCAAAATACCTTCTCCATGCACATAAGCCCCCACACGGCATCCCTTGCAGCGGCTCTGGTTAATGGATCTTAGGAATCGAGGATGCAAAAACCTCTAAAAATGTTTTAACCGAATTACTAATAATAATAATGCCAAGCTTCTCTTAAGCTATATGTGTGAAGGAACAGTGTGCAGTATAGTCCTTTGTGTCAGCATCTTGTATGCACCAGAGCCTGAGCCGAATCTAGAATCTGGAAACATTACTTCTGGAAACTAAAATTATGGAATGATGGCCATCCTGGCTGGCAATTTTTTCAAGCTCTTGTTCATGCTCTGGCATCTCCATGTAAAGTATCACTGGATGCAGGGCTAGCAGAAACCTCGGAGAAGCACTTCTAATGCAACCAGACTGTACCAGATTAGGTGGGCTAATAGTTTGTCTCAGTGTGCATGCTCAAATGAAACCTACAGGCACCTTTGTTTATCCTCTAAACCCCGTTTGGATGCCATGGGTATTCTAGCTAATGCAGCCGCAGTTTTACAGGCTGAAGCTCTACCCACCGGAGGACATCGTGCGTTGTTAACAGAACCAATAGGAGTATCCCACTGGGAAATAAAAAGAGGGCCCAGACACATGGAAGAGTGATCGTTTCCAAGATAAGGAATGGTGTACCAAAATGGTTACACATATAAGAAATCCAGCTCTCATTCTTTCTCTCTTCTTTTGTAACGGTATCATTTTCATAATCTGTATTTGCAACCTGTTCCTTCCTCTACCTCTAGCATCAGCCTTTCCCTTTCCCTGTGCTCATCCCCTAGTCAGCATGTCTCCCTTCTCCAAGTCCATTCAGCATTTTCCATGCTTGGGATCCCACCAGCATGCCATCTGCTAATGTGTTTTCCCTCACCAGTTGGTCTCAATCCTTTAGTGTAGCTTCCCCAAATCTGGTGATGCCCAGATGTGCTAGAGCATATGTGTCAAACTCAAGGCCCACCGGGCTGGTTCATGTGGCTATCACAGGGTTTCCTGCTACTGTGCAGCATACAATACGCAGGCGCTTACTCGGTCACCCATAATGCTCCGCAAAGATGTGGGGAATCTGCCCAGCGGGACTTCTAATCTTAGGATTCCAAGATGCGAAGAGTCAGAAAGTGCAGCCGCTTGGGCGGCATACAGCACCTTGGGAAATGTAGTCCTTGCCATTGCCTACTCCCATTCTTACGGCTCCTGGCAAGGACTGTTTGATGGCTTCGCATAGCAGCGGTCATCTCTGCCTCCTCTTCCTCCTTGGCTACAGATGTGAGTGAGGAGCCAGGTGGTAACGAGGGCAATGGCAAGCGAGAGGGAAGTGGCAAGCGAGTGGGAAAGGTGGGAGACTTCTGTGAATAATTAACAAAATAAACAAACACAGATGGGGCTGGGGGTGGGCGTCAACAGGTGTCACTAAAACTCACTTTTCAATAAATTGTACAGTAATTGTACACTTGAATATCTGCTTGCTCTTATTTTACTTACGGTATTTATTTATTTTTTTATTACTTTGATCAGAGATGTTTACTGTCCGAGCTAGTTATTACTTATGTTTTTACTAAAACTAGTAATAATCAAATGAGGAGGATTGTATTGACATATGATGAAGAGCAGATACATTTATATAGTCCTACAGATACAACCGTCCCTTTGAGGGCAACCCTAATGCCGATACGTCCCAAGATGAAATTGAATTTGACACCTCTGTGCTAGAGTGTCACTCCCAATCTTCTCAGCCAGCAGAGTATCAGGAGGGCCACAGGTTGGAAGAGAAAGCTACCATACTGTGTTAATTAGTGGCTGTCTACATTATTATGCAGCAAATCCATGCATTTGCCACACATGCCTGCTCAACCCATCCCAGCCTTCTTAGAAATCTATCAATAGGATGCCTGTGTTTGCCAATGCGTGTCTACCTCATTTTTCTAAACTTCAGTTTGCAACATCATGGTATTACACAGTTAATTTTGCTGTTTTCCCAATTCAAAGCAACATCAAAATAAAAGATGAGGCTGATGTCAAAAGAAAAGAAAAGAAAACAAAACAAAACAAAACAAAACAACAACAACAACAACAATAATGCACCGTCAAGCAAAACAAAACAAAACAACAACAACAATGCGCCGTCAATTCAGTTCTGACTTACAAGTGTGTAAAAATGAAAAGGCGTTGAATTGGCACTTTCAAGGAGGTCAAGGGAACTCTTGAGTGTCACTTTTGTCTAATCTTCTGTGCTACCCAGGAAAGGCCACAGCACCACAGACGTCCCATGAGTCCCACCATTTACTTACTTTATTTGTCCTATTGACACCCCATGTTTCCTCCAAGGAGTCTGTGGCACTCTTGCCCTTTTATCCTCACACCAAACCTGTGGGGCAGGTTAGCAGGGAGTCAGGACTCAACCCAAGGTCACTGGATTGATTTCTGCTTTTAACCTGGGTCTCTTCCATCCAACACTCTGACAGTCTAACCGAATGTGCAGTTAGTGACTTTACCAAAGTGCGGCCTAACTCTTTCCCAGAAGAGAACCTCTGGCAGTAATCCAGAAAGTCACACTATCAAGTAGAAAAAATAGGTGAAGGATGGTACATAAATTTATTTGTCTCTCTTCTCTCCCTCCCCCCCACTTCCATTTTCTTTTCCTTTGTACCTTGTCAATTAGATTCTAGAGTCAGAAATATCCTCAAGGGCCATCTAGTCTAATCCACTGCCAGTGCTGGAGTAAATATCAGAATTTAATACTAAATAACCTTACTATAGACTGTTGTTTTACACTGTAAACATCCAGAGTACATGTGCACAAAGGTAGCACACAAATTTAGCTATTGCATATAAATATACAGTACACATAACATATGGGATTAGTTTTTTTTTTAATAACTAAGTTATTTAAGAACTTTGTTATTTAATTCAGCAAAACGTCTAAAAGCCGTTTAGGGCTTTTGTCTAAATGGTACTGTATTAAAAAAACATGCAGGAGAAGCAAGTACTTAAGCTATAGTAGCCAGGAAGTGGTTTTGTTTATCTTTCTAGAATGAGTGCATTGTTCAGAGTTTTCCAGTCACCTAATCCCATTTTCAGTACTGAGGTACTGTGCATTGAAACGAAAGTAAAAACAATACTCAAGATGCTATCTATGAAATTACTTTTTAGAAGTGTCTCTTTTTTTTCCTTTTCTTTTCCGTCTCTCTCTTTTTTAACTATAGAGTACATTACTTTTCCAGACTATGACTTCCAGAATTACTGTGGTATTTTTTTCTTTTCTTTTCTCTCTCTCTCTCTTTTAACTATACAGTACATTACTTTTCCGGACTATGACTTCCAGAATTACTGTGGTACTCTTGGAGTGGCAGTCCAACATTAAAAAGTACCGTTTTTAAGTCCTGCAAAAGTTTCCTTTGTGAGCACCCTGCCTGAAGAGGAGGGGATCTTCCCAAAGAATTTGGCAAAAGGTAGTTCTTGGGAATGTGCAGAGTTTTTGTTTGTTTCGAAACAGAGCTTTCCGAGCCTTTAATTTAGCTGTATGTCACAAGGCTCCTTAGCTGGGGGAATGGTGACATCTAAAGAGGGCTAGAATTTGTTTAAAATAAATAGGGTTTGCATACGATGACTTAACAATAATTTTTCTCACCTCTAAATGATGCTACTGGGTATTAAGGATTGCTTGGAGGAGCAACCAGAAGGACCATGAACTGAAAACAAATTTCCATCAGTCACAGTGACAGATAATCTCTCCCTCCCCTCCCCTCCCTCATCACAACAAAAACATGCTGATCAGCCTATCTCCTGAAAAAAGACAAAAGCCATTCCCACAGCTATAAATACTATCCAACAAACACCAACAGAGCATGGACAGAGTTCCTACTCTAGCCCTCTGAAGATGCCGGCCACAGAGACTGGCGAAACATCAGGAAGAACAACCTTCAGAACATGGCCAAAGAGCCCGAAAAACCCACAACAACCAAATTTCCAAGTCTCAGGATGTCCTGGGAAGCAGCTTGTTCGAGTCAAAGAGTACATTTTAGCACCAGGGGTGGGGGATTTCCTAATTCCTAGGCAAGGAAAGCCAGAGACGAGCACGCGCTCAATGGAGAGCCTGTGCTAAGGTCCTCTTCCCTCTGTCTTCCACCAGAGGGAGCATAAGCAGGTAGGGAGCAGGTGGGGCTGGGGGATGCGGGAAATCACAGCCTCATCCGAGGAGTCCGGAAAGGTCAATCCCAGAGTCCTGGCAGCCTGCTAAAGCCCAGCTGAAGACCCAAACCAAGCATGGGCAAAGTGTAGCTGCTTTTGTAGCTCCCACACCTGTTTGTTGTTATTTTTTTATAGACTCCGGGAGTGCCAATTCATCTTTTAAAGAGGCCACAGCATCTCTGCCACACTAAGCCCTCACATAAACCCCCAAATACCCATGTTTTCTAAATGGGAAGAGAATGCCTAAGCACTTCCAGTTTTATTTTATTTTGGTTTTGGCACTGGCTCTTGGATCCAAGAAAGGTCCCCACCTCAGCCCTATTCTATGCCACATTTCAAAGAATAACGCCAAAAATGCGTGACCATTACGTTTATTTATTTATTTACTTAACTTATATGCCGCCCACACTACCCAAAGGTCTCTGGGCGGCTTACAACAATTAAAATACAATAAAAAAGATAAAACAATTAAAATTAAATTATATTATTAAATTATATACTCTAAAAATTGCCATCAAGACTCACCGTTGATACTATTTCAATTAAAAGCCTTCTGGAACAGGAAGGTTTTGACCTGGCATTGAAATGTCATCAAAGTCAGCGCCAGACAAATCTCACTTGGGATGGCGTTCCATAGTCTGGGGGGCAGCTGCCGGAAAGGCCCTTTGTCTACAAGCCTTCCCTCTTACCTCCTTAAGGGACGGTTCTTTCGAAAGGGCCCCCTGGCTAGATCTTAACTGCCAGGTAGGTTCATATGGAAGGAGGTGGTCCTTCAGGTATACAGGATCCAAGCTGTTTAGGGCTTTATACGTCAAAACAAGCACTTTGAATTGGGCCCGGGCAGCAACTGGTAGCCAATGTAACTTATACAGAATTGGCTTGATATGTTCCCTGGCTGCTGCACCACTCACCAGCCATGCAGCTCAGTTCTGAACCAGCTGCAATCACCGGACCATCTTCAAAGGCAGCCCCACATAGAGAGCATTGCAGTAATCTATGAGAGATGTTACCAGTGCGTGTTTAACTGTCATGAGACTCCGCTCATATTAAAAGACAGTCTCTGTACTAAAACCCAGCCTGAAACCCGATTGAAATGGATCCAGAAAATCAGTTTCATCCAGCAGCACATGGAGTTGTGCGATCACAACCCGCTCCAACACTTTGCCCAAATAAGGGAGGTTTGCCGCTGGTTGGAAGTTAACCACCATGTTTTATTTAAATTTGTTTTATTCCTAGGCTGCCTTTTTCCTGGTGTTTTCCCTTTCCTTGCTTTTTAATCAATTATATTAAAATATTTGTTATTTATGTATATTATTTTAACGTAGATCCACACATCATTGAAGGCCATGAGATGAAATTTAATTAGCTTGTGCATAAATCCAGCATTGCTCTTCATTATGGTTGAGCCAATTACTTCTTCAAACATGACATCTACTAATCTGAAAAGGATCCTCTGCTTTTGGTGGACTCTTCCACCTTCATCTTTCACCAAGCATCTCTCTCTCTCTCTCTCTCTCTCTCACACACACACACACACACACAGAGAGAGAGAGAGAGAGAGAGAGAGAGAGAGAGAGAGAGAGAGAGAGAGAGAGAGAGAGAGAGAGAGAGAGAGAGAGAGAGAGAGTATAAAAAGCATTGAAGCATCAGTAATATTGCCATGAAGGGCCTGAGATAGTGCTAATGAACTATGCATATCGTATTTCCCCATGTAGACACTTCACCACCCAGTTATTCTGGCTGGATGAAAAAGGTAACCTGGTATATACTAGAATTCAATATTTCTCTCTTCTTCTTGCAGTTAAAGTTCACGCTCAAAATGGAAGACTCCGATGCCCTCTCACTGTTGCATGATGGGTACCACAACTTGACAGAGCTGTTCCATCTGCTCAACTCCACCTTCACCTACTGCCACCTAGGGCTGGATGACAACATTAAGCGGGTGTTCCTCTTTGTCCTCTATCTCATCATCTTTGTGGTAGGGTTGGTGGAGAATCTCTTGGTGATTTGGGTCAATTGGCAGACCCGAAGCCACAAGAACCTCGTTAATCTGTACATCTTCAACATGGCCATTGCAGACTTAGGAGCGATCCTTTCCTTACCATTTTGGATGCTGGAAGCCATGCTTGATTACGCCTGGCACTGGGGAGACTTCCTATGCCGCTTCACCCACTACTTTTACTACGCCAACATGTATAGCAGTATCTACTTTCTCACCTGTCTCAGTGTTGACCGCTACGTGTCATTGACAACCTCTTCTCCCTTTTGGCATCGACACCAACACCTTATACGACGCATCGCTTGCTGTTGCATATGGGCCTTTGCTGCCATTGTCCCTTTACCGGAGGTAGCACATATGGAATTAACTGGGACATTTCAGCCAGTCTGTTTCTTTATGGCCCCCCTTGAGACCTACAGTGCTTGGGCCCTGACTCTCACTATTCTTACGGCCTTAATTGGGTTCCTTATTCCCTTCTCGATCATGGCAGTCTTCAACATACTGACTGCCAGACATATCAAGCACTCCAACAAGCCAGAGGGCAGGAAGCACTGTCGCCTCATCTATGCCTATATTATTGTCTTCCTGGTTACTTGGCTACCATTCCATCTAATGTTATTCGTGTTCACACTGGAAGGTACCAGCATTTTTCTCCACTGCTACTTGCTAGATTTTCTTTACTTCTTTTATGACATCATAGACTGCTTCGTTCTGGTCCACTGTGTGGTCAATCCCATCTTATACAATTTCCTGAGCAAGAACTTCCGAGGAAAGCTTATCTCTGCTGTGGTCAGGTACATCCCCAAAGACCAGATTGAGCAGAGGGGTAAAGAGGGCTCCTCCAGCACCCAGCACTCTATTGTCATCACAAAAGAAAACATACCACCAAATTAAGGCTTATGTTGGTTCACTGCCACACTGCCACTACAAGATCTTGCACATTCAGAGATCTGTCATTGGAAAATGGAAGACTTTGCTAAAATGCTATCGCACCGTTTCCAAGTGTTGTCAGTGCCTCTTGCTTGGAACCCAGGGAATTGGAGATACAGGGTGAAATAGCAGGGATGTAATAGGCTGCTGTGTCAAACCTACTGAATGTAACCAACTGAGGAGTTAAGCTTTCTATTGATCCTCTTCTATATCACCTCCGAATTCCTTGCCTCCAAGTAACTTTGGCAATGAGCAATGTTTTCTACTGCCCTGAAATTCTAGTCATGAAAATACATATTTCTGTTTTCCCATTTATTTGTGCAGTTTGGGATGACCATTCCATTCTGAATTTTCATTAGAAGAAATGGTCCATATACTGTACATTTATGCAGAATGGTATACCAAATTTTCATTAGAAGAAATGGTCCATATACATTTATGCAGAATGGTATACCTTTGAAGCAGTCTGTGAAATAGACATTGCCCATGTCTTTTACGAACGTGCTGTTGCTTCTGACTGGGGGATTAAGAGACCAATAATTCCACCCCCGCAGTTTGCGTACAAGCATTTTCCTCCCAAATGATAAAATGCACGCGGTGTCTTCACAGAAACATACACACACAAGTGGACATGATTATGCATTTGGAAGGGTATCACAAAAATACCATTAGCTAGCTTAAACCTACTCTGGGACTTTGAATCATCCCCCATCCCCAAGGTATGCATGCATGCCCAACAGTATTGCTTTGTATATAGAAGTCCAAACTCTGTCTCAGCTGTCCTTTGCATCTATCTTCCTGTTACTAAAAACATTTGATTCCTTCCTTCTTGTGTCCGGGGCATCTAATCCCTAACCTCCAACAGAATCAAAGTGTTTTCGTCCTACCTTGATTTTCAACAAATGTGACAGCCGTATTACAAATATTCTTTACAAAGCATTAGTTATTTGTGTGGAGAGTTGTATAGAACATAGGGCACAGCAGTCTTGCTCATGAGATTCACATTACATGGTGAAGCCAGGAGAGAAGAGAAGGAAGAAGGACTGACTTGATAAAGGATGGATTGCTGGCTGTGGAGAAAATGTATTCCTAGAAAATGTATTCGCCACTTTAGGAAATTATCTCCAGAAGCATGATCCTCCCATTTAGAGGTGTTGGCGGGGGGGGGGAGTGCCTTTAAAAAAAGATAATATGTATTTTCCAGGTTGCAGGAGGAAACTGACTAGCAAACTAGCAAACTGACTAGCTGAATCTTCCTCATCCCTTACGTATGTAACCAGCACATGCTGTGAGACAACACACAGAATTTTGTTTGTTCTCATGGCTGCCATGTGCACAAACAATAAAAAAAGTAAGAGCCGATACTTCTGCCCTAGAATCTTCCACAAATGTGACATGACTAGGGTTATAGGCTTTTGGGACTCCTCATCAGGACCCTGAGAGATGGTCAGTGGATTGCAGTGCAGAACATCTAGTTGAAAGGTTAGAGTGAAAAATGAGAGGAAGTGCTGAGCAAAATGTTCTCAACACTTCCTACCCTGGACAACGCTGACCTATGTATGAGAAAAGCACAAGTCCTTTTAGAAGACAGATTTGAGCAAGTTTAATACTAGAACAATATGGACAGGAATTTGAAGAGGAGGGTACTGGAACTGACATAAAATTAATAAATAATTAAAAGGAAAGAAAACAGGATATTTATCCAGGTCTCAAGGGTAGACATACATGTTGCCCATATTAGGAGAAAGAAAGAAAAATCCTGGTATAGAGTTCAGGGAAAGAAGCTCAAGGCCAGGAAGGCAGGATGTTCAGGAGGTGCTCACTTAACACGAACAGTCCTAATTTATCTACAACAAATTCATTTAGGAACAAAATGCATGGACAATTTTCAGGAAGTCTTTATATTCAGGACAAATTAAGCCAACTCATTCTCGATCAGAAACGATCCAAGACAGGTTAGTTCCTGCACCCAAAGCATAAAATGTATATATTTTAAAGATCACTCAATAAAACAGAAACAAAAACCAAAAAAGGCCAAATGTTTTGCCTCAGATTGATGCTATCTTTTATTTCTGGCAATCCTAGACATATTATTTCCCCACATCTTCTGGCTCCTAAGGAAAACGGGACACAAGGAATAGGCGCAGCTTCTGTCTTTGTGCTGGGCTCCTGCAGAAGCAGTGAATGAGTGAGAGAAGGAGAGACTACCTTTCCTAAAGTGCAGATCAACACCAGACAGAGGAACACCTCTTTCCCACACCCCCTAGCCTGTTCAGGCTCTGTAGAAATACTGGCCTGGGATCCTCATAGCTGCCCTATTCTTCGGTGCTTGGCACAGAGACTGTTTCTTTCCTCAATACTGTACATATTGTACACTGGACTGGAGTGAAATGCTGTTGTTCTTGCCTGCAAACACAAAATCTACAAAGAACAAGAACTGTATCAAAAATCTTCAAGTTTATCATTTTATTATTCTAAATAAAAAACACACTTTTGTGCCAAACGATGGAGTATAAAAGAATCAGATGTACAACCATTTTAGACATCTACTTTTTTTTCTTTGAGGAAGGAGGAAAGTTTTACAAAATATACAAACTTTACAGCAAATAGATAGCAAACACTTAAATAACCAGGAGGTTGGTACCTACAATTAACTTAACCAAAACGGTTAGACAGCAATCACAATGCTCTGCGTATTTTTTTCATTCTGTTTCGTTTCAAGACATCTGGATCTTTGGAGGAAAGGGAGAGAGGTATGGTTTTGAGTTTACAAACAATAGTAATACTAAACATTAGCCTCAAAAACATTTCTTTCCTCCCAAAATGTTCTGCCTTAGATTGGAAATACCTGTTCCATGCCTGAAATCTCCCGTTCTGATGATAATGGGAGAGATTCTTCAGAAGTTAGCATGTCACTCAGTGAAGCTATTTAATTACAATACATTGTCTTTCTTACAAGCCTAAGGATTCCAAAGCACTTTACATTTGCTACACCTCACAACTTTTTCCCTGTGAGGTAGTGTTTTGTTTTGTTTTGTTTTATAGTACTGTATTTCTCCTACCCATGTGCATTCTTAAGAGACTAGGAGAGGGTGTGTCTGAGATGGGCAGATGATATTCCTTGGCCAAAAACAAACTGAAGAAGCAGAAGTTCAGAACCAGAAACGAGCCCCTAGTCTTCTGGCCCTCAGCACTCCAAGTCCAGTGATTCACAACTTTATGTGGTAGACTGCTTCCATAAATTAAGTTCTGAAGTTGGCCATGCTTGCCAGCAGGACAAGTTTGGCACTGGAAAACCACAAGAAAAGAGGTCTGGAACTCTGTTTTGGCTTGAAGATAAAATCTTTACTACATCAGGTTACATATAGCCCCTTCTCTATCCTTCCCAACAGATGCCACATCCTGATCATGGGAACATGGTTCAGTTCAGCATAATGCCATGTTGCAGAAACAGAAATGATTAATGATCTCCAGAGCTTAAACTAGGAGGCTCAGGGTTTAAAGGTAGGGCCTACCCTAGTGAGCTTTGAAGGACAGTCTGCTCTGACCTCTTCGAGCAGAGAAGGGTAACTGGGCCTCAGATATGACAATATTCCCTTTACTTGATAGGTAGTATGAAGCTTCTTGCCCAGCCAGGCTCCCAGAAATCCAGCCTTCTGCCTTTGGTCAGTAGCATGAGAGCTTGTTGCAGTTTAGGCTCTAGCTTCCTGCTCAGGCCCTCTCACGTCTAAATTCAGGCAGTCCTGACCCCACCATTAAGTAATCATAATACTAGCAGTGATGAAGCTCTGAGGCAGCTCTTAGGTTTTTACAAGCAAATCTGCCAGCATTAACTTGTTTTTGGAAAGAATCATCTCTGCCAATCAATGTTGAATCCATTCCTTAGGGTATCTTGTTTGGTGGCTGACAACTTCTTGTGCCCACAAGAAGAAATGAAGAAACATGCCTGAATATTTGCTAGAGCTATGTTAAAACAGTAACATTCTCATGAGATAAGACATAAATAAGTGATCCCCCTCCCACCTTCCTTGACACACATCAAAACAATTAATCTTCACAATATCCTAAGAGGTAGGTACTGTCAGCAGAGGGGCAGATCAAAACTGCCCAAGGTTGCCCTATTGGGACTGTCCGAGCTGATTCCTGGGGGTTTACATGTGTTTCATTGTCCCCCTTCGTAAGTCAGGGCTAGAACAATGCTACGTTGATTTCTCTTTTAATAACAGTGCTTTTCTATACAGAAGCCAGAGAGTCCATTTGTACACAATTGACTTGTTAAGACTCCAGGTCTTCATCTTGATGAGGTAGATTGCATTATATCTAGAGGTGGATTTCAAGCTGGATGTGTCATCATTTTACTCATCCATCCCACTCCCCCCCTTCGACCATTGCATGGATTTCACTTGGGGAGCATCCTGTCTGCAGTCTGAAGCACAGTGCACAGGACAAAGCCATAACAAATACAAACTGGTTCAAGACCTATATCCTGTGATCTCCTTCTTGTATTGCAGCCTTCCCATAAGCACCTGTTTAGCTGTAACAACACAAAAAACTGGAGGCAGGAAGAAAAGCTCCAATGTTCGCCTGAAGGGTGGTATTTATTGTTCCTTTAGCAAATGCTGACTTTTACTGGCATGGGGCAAGTATTCTTGAGTCTTTTCGGGTAACAAAAAAACTACTGTATAGTATTAGTTCAAGCCCAGACTCCAGAAGCATGATCCTCCCATTTAGAGGTGTTGGCGGGGGGGGGGAGTGCCTTTAAAAAAAGATAATATGTATTTTCCAGGTTGCAGGAGGAAACTGACTAGCAAAGAATTTAAAAACAGAAATGCAACACATTTGCTGCTCAGAGGAAGAATAATAGCTTTTTCTTATATTAACCACTTCTTTTGCTAAACAGCTAGACAAGCATTCAAACCGTGGGATAATCAACTCATCAAGATTTTAATGATAATAAATTGTTTTAAAAGTTGCGTATCAGCTCTGCAACATGGATAGCTGGAGTTAATGCTGCTCAGTACTAGAAAGGTAGCTGACATTATCCAAAAGTAAAGAGAGACTTGCCATTTCGAAACCATTTGAAGTTCTTTATCCTTCCACCCTATCAATGTGCATCACAGACATGAAGGCTATTAAGACAAGACAGATGAACTATTAGTGTTGTTCCTCTCCACATGCTTCAGATGTGATATTTGGTTTTTCAAGCACTATCTGTACAGTTCATTCTTTATATATTGATCCTTCACCTTTTAAAATGGAAATATTTCAAAGGTTCTACAAACTGCACCAGGGTTTGGAGCTGGGTGACATACTGGGTATTAGCCAATTAATATCACCTGCAACTGGCATTTGTTGCAGATCGGCAGAGCAAAGCATTCAGTGTGTGTGCACTGTCAAAGTTCAGTCCTGGAAAGAAAGGAAGGACTGTGTGTGTCCTGCACATAGTGTGGGCACATTCAAACCAGATCCACTTCTCTACATGTCACACCAGTCCTCACTCCAGTAGGCTACTTTGACACAATTGCAAAGGATGTGGGAGTATAGAGAGAGAAGGAGTAGACTATATTTCTCTGTAAAATAATGCTGTGGTTTGTGTGCCAGGATACAAGATACGTAATAAAAGTGCTTTTTTGAGAAGGTTTATGAATCCTTCAAAATGAATGAATAAAGATGGTGTACATTTCCCCAAAGACATGACCTGCAAAGACCCTGAATCTTTTATTTCTCCTCCTTTCTTTAAGGCAACAATAGATCTTCAAATACATCTGTGTAGTTTTAGACATATCTGTTCAGAAGCTCCACTTTATGTAAAGGGAACATTCTTCTAGGTTAAGTATCATACAATTACAGCCCCAAAGGAGGATTCCTAGCACTGTTTAAACAGCGATGCCAGACACCTTCAGAAACCTGAGCTATTGGGCACTTCCCTCATTGAGCAGGGCAGGCGAGTGGCAGAACCCTACAAAGCATTAAGATACTCATGGAGGAGACAAGGAAGAAAAACAGAATTGTACTCTGATGACCCAGGAACCTTTTTTTTTGGAAAGAGGGTGTGGGAGATGAAGCTAAGAGTTGTTTCTTAGGACACTTTCACCTTCATGCTCCCCCACCCCAGAAAAACATGAATTCAATACGTTCTACTTCCCCACATTTCTCTGTACAGTATTGCCTTTTGATTTTGTTCTCCTTGCTCCAAAGTGAAATTTTATAAAACTAACTCCCCAGTAAAAAGGGGTAGGGGGGAAAGCTAAGTAAGGCTGGGTGCAAAGTAAGTTTAACAACTGAAAACTAAAAGCCCAACTTAAACCTGGTTTTGTGCCATTAATGTCAGCTTTACCTATAGAAATCAGAAGCTGGGGCTCTTCATGACATGGAGATTATCACTACCACCAGAAATGATGGCACATCACATGGCTGTTAAAGGCATGGAAGCAAAGGCTGGTAAACGGGGGGGGGGGGGGGGGGGAGCGAGCAGCACTGATGGGAGAGAAATAGATTCTCTGACAAAAAGATAAAGCTAAGAATCCTAAGCACACTTACTGACCAGGGAATTTAGACCCCCTGAATTAAGTGGGGCTTCCAAGTAGGCATGTTTAGAATAGCTTAGTAGATTTCTCTAACGGACATCCTCCCAACAACCGTTCAAAAACAATCCTTTTCACCTCTCACCTTCTCCCCTGCTCTCTCTGCTGATGTGGAGCATCAATATATCTTAGTAGCAAAACTCTTTTAGCGATGGTAATGGCAGGGAGAAGAGTCAGAAGAAGGAAAACTTATATAATGGAAAGGGGGGGAAAACTAGTCTGTTTCCTAAATTTGAAGCAATGGGCACTGGACTCGGCAGGAGGTAACACAACAGGTTTCTTGAGAACAATAACACTTCTAATGTGCTATTGTTTTCACAGGACAGTACTGGATTTAAGAAATCCTCTAACAAGGCAAAGGGACATAAAGTTAGGATGCTGATGATGCCTAACCTTTAAAAGCAATGTTTTGCTACTATCGCAAGTAGCACTGGCTTCCCTGATACTGTTATATCAGCTGTCTGTGTTTTTTTCCGTATCTTTGGAATGGATGATGTACATGAAAGTTTGTTCAATGGTGAAATCAGGAGGAAGGCTGCCTTTGTGTACACCTATATGCTTGCTCATAAGGTTAAGAGTAGAGCTATAGTGACCACACACTGTGCACCGGTACATGAGAGCCCCAGAGTGCGTCTTCAGATGGCACTTGATGGTGGAACGTCCACGGAAGAACTTGTGACACACTTTGCACTGATAGGGCTTTTCTCCTGTGTGGATCCGCCGGTGGTAGTTGAATTCACTGGTATGAGCAAACCTCTTCCCGCACACCTTACAGCTGTACTTACTGTTCCCAGGTTGGTTCTGGAGAGCCATGTCTTCAATGAGGAACTCTTCTGTCAGCTTCCTCTTCTGCAGAGCTTGCTGCTGGAGTCGGTCACCAAAGCTCGGCTGCACCAGGTCCAAGTTGGAGCTACACTTGTGCTGGCTCACATGGTAGCGGTAAGCAGCCTCCAGCTTGAAAGCCTGGCCACAGTAGTGACACCGAAAGAGGGCTTCCTCCATGCTTTGGTGGACTGCCATGTGCTTCTCCAGAAGGTGTCTGTCCACAAAACTGTTGGCACAAATAGAGCAAGAAAAAACAGAAATCCCCAAGTGGGAAAGTGTGTGCCACATCAGGCTGCAAAGATTGAGGTGGCGTTGGTCACACACCCTACACGTTTGGCCTTTCAAGTTCACATGATCCAGTATGTGACCCCGAACCACATGAAAATCTTTGGCCACCAGTTTTCCACAGGTGGCACATGCCAAATCCCCGCTGAAAAAATTTACTTTCCCTATTAGCGGGTCACTGGGATGAATGATAATGTTGTTGTCAAATACTCCTTCTCGACGGTGAAGGTTGAGCTGCCACTGCGTGAAAAACTTAGTCTCACACATATCACAGGAGAAGAGAAATATCCCTATGTGAGACAGGACATGAGTCACTCTAGAGTTCCTGTCCTGGAAATGGGTCTCACAGACCTTGCAGTTGCCGGTCAGGAGGTCTACATGGTCCCTAGCATGCTGGCGAATGAGTTGAATATTGGGTTCTAGTACCTTTTTGCACACTTGGCAGGGCATGGCCTTGCTATCTCGGTTGTCATTCTCGAAGGACAGTTCCTCTTCACTATCATCACTCAGCTCAATCACCTCCTCAGCAGCACCCAGCTCCTCACTGGCGTCTTCAAAATGCAGCGCCTCTTCCCCAAGGTCTTCTAGCTGTAATTCATCCATTTGCCCAAATCCCTGGTCTTTGGAATGGTCACTATTGCTAGGGCAGGAATTGCTGCCTGTGGATATATCCAGGGAGGTATCAGAGGGGGAAAAAATGCCTTTCGTATAATCCCCATTGCTCTGGATCTTATATGCCTGGCAAGAGTTCACCGCTGTTTGAACAGCCATGCTGATATTGTTGAGCCCAGCCTGTGTCATAATATTCATAGTGCCAGTGAACTGCGCTGGTGTTTCCTGTTCTTCCATTTTGGGGCTCTGTGGACGTAGTAAGTTATGACTAGCATCACTTGCAGAGTCTTCTTTGTAGCTGCCTGTTGCTTCACTATGCATGCTGCAATTGCGCTCTGCTCCCAGGTGCTCCCCGCTGTTTCGGATTTCACCCAGAGTTTGACTTGGCTCAGGCAAAGCACAGCTTGACCTGCTCCCACCCGAGACAGAGGGCTGTTTGGTGATGGCTGAGTTTTCCAAGTCTGGAAAAGTGGAATGGCAGGCCTTCAGCAAATCATCCATGCCCAATTTTTCTGCTACCTCATAAATGACACCCACATTGATCAGGTCTGTAAAAAGCTCTGAGGTGTAGACAAAACTCAAGATCTTTTCAAAGTTGGCTGGAGTGATAAAATCCACCACGTAAGTGCGGGCAGCATCCAGTCCTGTATTGAGAAAAAGGTTTTGGAAATAGCCTGCTGCACATGCCAGCACTGCTTTGTGTGCAGGGAAGGAACGACTACCCACAACAATGGTAACATCACACATAGTTTCTGACAATCTACATTTGTTAAGTTCTTTCAGCAGGTTATTGGGGTGGTCGGTACTGTGTAGTTTGATCCTCATGCCCATCTTGACAGCTGCCAAAAAAACTCCTTCTCCTGCTCACTTGGTGTTTATACCTGCCTGTTTTGTCCACTGCATCAGAGGGGGCCTGCAAGGCGCTGACTTTCACTAGACAATGAACTCTAGAGAAAAAAAAGTAAAAAAAATTAATTTAGACTCATACTTGTTTTCAAATGAAATACAGTAAGCCTGTTACAGTGTAAGCTTGCTTGGGCATTTTGTAAGCAGAAAGACTGGGTGACAAGTGAGTTCAGTTAATACATAAATAGATTTTTTAAGTAACAAGAAAACATAACTGCTTTGGAGTAAATGCTTTTTCATAAAACAAGTAGTAAGTGTGGCAGTAAAGCATGTGTATGTGAGAGGCACATACTAGCAATCAGAAAGCATTGTCTTTTGTTTTAAACCAATGCATGTTCATGCTTTCTCTCTGATAACGTATATACTTTCTTCCAGATGATTTTCCACTTACATGTATTTGCAGTCCTGCAGTCTGCTAAACTTATTTCAGATGTAGATTATTTAATTCCTCTGAATAAAAAAGCGGGGTTGTCAAGTCATACAATTTGTGTTCACTTGACCCATGGGTTGTAATTTTTTTATCCAATTTTTTTAAAACCATCTCATTACCTTCTCTTTAAGGTACATACTGTAAAGTCATTTCAATGGATGGGCTAAAATTAGATAACATTGTCAGCAGTAAAACAAAAGACTAGGAATCTGAAGTCCTTTCCATTAGCAACAGGAACAAATACAACCTGTTGCATCTTTTGTTCGTAAATCTTCATTTAAGATTTGACTTTTAACCCTGATTACCAATAAAGTACAGTAAGTAACAACAAAACTGGTGTTATAATTCCCTTTTTCTATGATGCTGCAAGTAAGGCAGACAACAGGGGTGCTATCTTAGCACAAATTAAGTTTAGCACCCACCCAACTACAAATAGAGAACAACTAAACTTTCTCACAGTAACATGAAAAAAAAAAAAACAGAGAAGTTGGACACTAACAGAGGAGACTACCTTATGCCAATTCTTTATGCAAAAAACCCCACAAAAAACAAAACCTGAGGTGATGGAAATTGCTTCATAATCAAAGGAAGTGATACTAAAAACCCAGGCTTTATAGAGAAAAGCATGCACCAAAGCAATATATGCCGCCTAGATGAAAGGAATAAGGTCAACCCAGAACATGGTTTTATTGGTAAAGCAAAAAGTCATGAAAGGTTGTTAAAAATGAGACAGGGATAGCAAATATTGTTCAAAGAAGTCTCTCATTTGGGTTGTGGGATGAAATGGGAAAATTAGCTAACGGAATGTAAATTAAGGGAAAGGTAAGGGAAAGGGAGGAGAGCTAAGAGAAAAAGTTTTAATGTCGAGAAAACAGGGCAATTCAGGATGCTATGGTGCGGTGTGGGGCGAGAGAGAAAGAGAAAGCCGCACGTCCCATAGAGCAAGAGGTAGGGAGGGACGGAGGGCGAACAGAAGAGAGGTCTCTGCTCAGGATGGGGAAGTGGGGCCCGAAATATTAGGGGAAATATTAGGGGGAACAAAGAAGTGGGGTCCGCGGGCTTCCGCTCGACATGAAAGGGGGCACCGAGAGCCTCTGACCTGAGAGGGCTCTGGGCGGGCAGGGAATGAGAGCTAGATGCGAGGAAAGGGGGGCTGAGGGGAGCGAAGAGAGAATTGGGGGGGCAGGTTGGGAGAGAAGCGGGACGGGGAGGGGGGAAAGCCCCCTTGTGTGGCGGGGAGACGGAGCCTCAGACCTTGGGGAGTAGAAGCGAGTCTCTTTTCCTTCAGAGGGGAGGGAGGGCTGCCCCTTACCCGGGAGGCGGCGGGCACCACCATCCCCGTTCTCGCACCCACACAAAGGGCTCCGGCGGGCTCCCCTCCACCTCGGCCCGGCCTCCCCCCCTCCCCGCCAGCCCGCTCGCCCGCCCGGCCTCGCCGAGGAGGTGCTGCTCCGGCCCCGGCCAAGAGGCTCCATCCGGCCCCGAGACGGCCGGGCCCAGCGCCGCCCCCAGCCCCGGAGGGGGCACTGCAGCGGCGGCGGCAGCAGCAGCTCCAGCCCCGGCTTCAGGGGATTCGGGCGGGAAGCGAGGAGCTGAGGAAGGGGGAGGAAGGGGAAGAAGACAAGGGGAGGGCGATGGGGCTGGGGCGGTGGGGAATAAGGGAGTGAGAAGATGATGAAGAAGAAGGGGCTGTGCCGGCTGCGTGGCGCGAACGGGGGAGCCCAGCTTTGAGGAGACGACATGAGGATAAAACAAGGGAAATGGGGGTCCGTCGTGTACGGAGGGGCGCGGCTGAGGGAAGGGGACCTGCCTGTGACAGCGCCGCTCGCGGTCGAGGGCCCTAAATAAGCGCGTGTGGAGAGCCCTGAAGGTCTCCGGAGTCCCTTTGGGACGCGGACCCTGAAAGCGGGACGCCCTGCCGGCCCTAGACTCTGGGGGCGCCCTGGAGGGGAAGAAGGGGCCACTGGGCAGCGCTGCCTCTGGGGACGCCGGGCTCCCGACTCCTGAGAAGGCATCGCGTGCATGGCCGTGGGCGCAAAAGGGTGCGGGGTCTTTTGTCTCCCTTTGTATGGTCTTGTACGCCGCCCCTCCGGCGAGGGGTTGTGCACGGCAGCCGTGCTCGCTTCGGGATGCCTACTTCACCAAGACATGGCTCGCTCTTCGAAAACTGCTTGCCCCAAAGGCACGTTTGCCGGAATATAGATACTATATTTCCCCCCCATCGGTCCCAGATTCTACTATTGTACTCTGACATTTCTTATAGATGCGTGTTTGGGATGACGGAGCTTGTTTCCAAAATATGATGGACTAATTCTTCTCTCCCAGAGTTTTTGAGTGATGACCCAGCCCAAACTGTTTATGGAGGTTGTGGTAAGATGCTTATAGCTGGAGGATCAAATGAGCATCATATTCTAATTACATAATATACATAAGCTTTGCTCATGTATATTATATGCATTGCACTGTTATGCATTATACATATGCATTGCTCAGTTTTTGCTTCCAATCTAGTGAAATGTGGAGAAAGTCCAAGAGAGAGAGGGAGATAAGAATAGAAGTGAGTGTAGCTGGTTGGGGGGGGGGGACGGGGACGACAGACAAACACTTAGGGGGAAGAAATCCTATCTCCTTTACTTTGAGTTTCAAAAGGTATCAGATGAAATTGGAAACTGGAGTGCTTACACAGAATGCTTTTACTCTCAGACAGTCACATCTTGCTTGTAATGCTTCCCATATATGTTTGAGGTGGGTGTGTTCATGTGTAATACCGTATATATTTTGAGGCAATTATCCCTTTGGTGTGTATGTACACCCTGCCAGAAAGGTTTAAAAAAAATTCACCGGCCAGGCTGGTGAAACTGGTGAGATCTGAAATGTACCCACCTATCTGTACTTTGATTTGAGGAATCTGTGTTTTGGGACACCCTGCTATGAGAAAAGGGACGTGGTGGTGCTGCGGGTTAAACCGCAGAAGCCTCTGAGCTGCCAGGTCAGAAGACCAGCAGTCGTAAGATCAAATCCACACAATGGAGTGAGCCCCCGCCGCTTGTCCCAGCTCCAGCCAATCTAGCAGTTCGAAAGCATGTAGAAATGCGAGGAGATAAATAGGGACCACCAGCGTAGGAAAGTAACGGCGTTCTGTGTCTAGTCGCACTGGCCATATGACCACAGAAACTGTTTTTGGACAAATGCTGGCTCTATGGCTTGGAGACGGGGATGAGCACCACTATGAGAAAATCACTGTAACCAAGAAGTAAACAATTTCCAGTGAATGATTAAATATTCAAATCAATGATGTCAAAGTCCTATCACCTGGAATTTTGTGACTGAATCAGTTTCTTTCCTAGCAATTTGTGACTGCTAGGCCTTAGTCATTTTCAGCTCCTAACAGAGCTTTAAGGGGATAAGGTTTGAGGACCCCTGGTTTTGAATGTGATGCTAAAAAATACCATGGGCATAAGTTTAATCGAATGTCTTTTTGTTTTGTTTTTGACTTTCATCCCCCAGCCATTGTTTTAAACATGGGCTATTTATTATTCACCTTGAACTATAGTTTTCATCTCTCCTACATGCTCTTTTGTTAAATTTCATTTTCACCATATACTCTTTAGTGACATTTCATTTTTCTATTTGTACTGCTTTTCCTGTATTTGTAAGTTGAAGACAAAACCTGCATTTGTTGTAGTTGCTAATTTATTTCAAATATACCTAAAATCTACCAAGCACCATGGAAAGGTATCATTTTAATATCAAGGTAATATTAATAGTCTTAGTGACTATATACTACTTCTAAAAACTGAATAGCACTTTCTGAGGAGTATTTATTTATTTATTTAATTTACATATCACCCTATTAGTGTGACACATTATTCTAGGCAGTTTAGAGCATGCTATGAGCAGGATGTTGCTTTTGCCATCCTGGGTTTTGCCTAATGACATTGTGGCAAATTCATAATGATAGGACCTGATCACAATAATCTCTATTGCCATATTCCCAAGGAGAATCTAAAAATGCAAGCAGTGGTGTCGATGCACATCAACACAAGTTCCAGCAGTTTTCATCTCCACTAGGAGTGGTCTATTAGGCCAGATAGGCGGGATATAAATTAAATAAATAGGAGGAGGTCTTTTGTAGATAAATAAATAAATAAATAAATAGGAGGAGGTCTTTTGTAGGGCTAATGGATCTTGGTTGCCCTTTGAAGAGCAAGACACTCCAAAATCTTTTGCATAATAACAGAGGTAGCTCAGAAGAACATATTGGTTTTGTTTTCTATTCCACCACCATCTCTCAGCTATTCTAGAGTCAGAGGAAAATGTGGGCTTTGGGTCCTGCCACTGTAGGAGACAAAAACTGGAAATAATAAATTGGAAATTAACATAATTAGGTCCCAAATGTGCAAACAAGACTGAATATTATGCTGGCTTTCTCTTGTTTGTATGTGTGCATCCTGATCCAACCTACAATATAGAAATTTGCTCCTTCAGCACCCCCCTCTCTCTGAGGAATCCAATGTCAGCTATCAAGATGGTCTGAGGGATACCCTCTTCTGTTCACTACCATTCACAAACAGACGTCAAGCCATGGAACCACTTCTCATCTAAACATGAAATAATTGTCATAGCTATTTTTCAATAAGCAACCATTCTGTAAGTATTTATTGCTTGGAAAATATGGACATTTGAGTAATCTTCAAGAGCTGGGATGAAACTTCTGCCACTGACACTGGCTCATTCACCCACCTGCCCAAGTAGCTTCCCCAGCCTCCCTTAACAAACTCATTTCTTGGTTTCAAGAAAGCTTAATGGCATCTACAAGTAGTGACTTTTTGGTGTACTTCCCACATAAAGGTGAGCTGAGCATCCTCAATGATGCCTTAGGAAGCAAAGTTGCTCATTTACCTTTGTAAAGAACAATTCCTTATGTCATTAAAATTAAGGGATGTATTAGTTCAAAACATAGATATGTGGTAGAGGAAATATTCATTTTGAAAGGCAGAGTACGTAGTTATTTTAAATATATTTTGGAAATTAACTGCTCGTGAAGGGTTGTTAAACTGTTCACAGGAGGAGGGAACTTCCCCTCCCCAAATACCCATAATTTTGACAGGAAACTTACCCCTTTCAGCCACATATGCTCTGGATGATCTCAGCTGGCCTCTCATCAGGGGGGATTCCAAGTCCCATGCTCCAACTCACTGAACAATACCAGCTGCCAATCGAGTCTAGATCTACTTTGAAGTAAGTCCCACTGCGGTCAGTGGGAAGCATTCCATCTTAAAGTAGCCATAGTTTTGCTGCCATTGATTAATAGTCATACACAGTTGGGTGTGGAAAAATCATGTTTCCCATTACTCATATTCAGAAAGCATAATAATTATGTCGTATGATGACCGGTGCCTCCACTTGTAGGATAAGCACAGTGCCCAAAATATGGACAGTGAAGAATACTAAAAATCCTCACTTTAGACAGCATGATAAAAGTGCTTGTTCCCAATAATTATATAAAGCTCTCCGCAATCCCAGTGACAAATCTTTGAGATGGCATGATTAAGTACTACCTATCCAAATGAATCTGTATAATTATAGTGCAGAAGGGCCCTCTGCTTGGCTGGTCCTTATTTTGTAACAGACATCACCTACTACTTAATTCTGTCCTGGTTGTCAACCGGCTGCATCATACAATATTCGCAAGATGGCTGTCCCACTTCATTCTGCCAATCTCTCATCTTCCTATTTTGACAGGAATGCGGGAGCTTGTCAAGGTTCTTTCTCTTGCAAAGTTTTGAATGAATTCCACATAGAATTTTTTCACTCCTAAGGGTCTCTTGGATTTAAAAATGTAATGTACCTTTTCGAATAGAGACCTCAGATGGCAATTTCAAATGTTAAATTGCCCGTGCTGCTAAGCTACACTAGATTTATTTTTTCAGAACAGCTTTTGTATCTATAAACAATACTGAAATTTCCATGAGGAATAAAGTTTCATAGGGACAAAAGACAAGAAAAATTTGATCCAGTAAATATGCAGACTTTTCTGTGAAGCTTATAGTTACTTTATCATTTGTTCTTGTGATTATATCAAAGCCACCATCTGGTGTTGCTTTTGTTGCCAGTTTCATTTCAGGTCGAGTATAAAAGCTGATCAGTTTCACGTGAATGGAAACTAGAGAAAGGCGGGGGGGCACATTTTCATCCATGTTGTCTTGGATTACAACTCCTTGAAGGCACAATAGGACAGTTACTTTTTTTGTCATTGCCTCCTCCAGACAGCATCTTCTAGGGAGCTGAGCATGCTATGTGGCAGGACACTTAACCTGTTGTGGTCTAAGTTATGGTCTAAGCCCAAATCCTGTTGCTCTGTGGGCAGAATGTGATGTTCCCCTCACACCATTCCACAACATCTTCAGCTTGCTTGTGTGA